TTTAGGCAAGAATATTTAGCTTAATATTTGAAACCTACACTGGCATGAAACAGAGCACATTTTCTCTATTGCATATAATTCTTTTCCATTGGGGCTCTCATTTTAAAAAGTTAACACCATCTCCCACACCAGTTACTAGATAGGATCCCAAAGAAAAAATGAAATAAGAATACTGTATGTAGCAAGATAATTGAACAAGAATGGGGATCTGAAGGTCAAAAAGCTATCAAGGTAGCAAGGATCTAGATTCGAGCTCTATTATCTTTGGAGCTACTCAATAAATATCGGTGGCATGACATGCACTCATTCAACAAACATACAGAGCAAGTATGTTGTGCTATGCAGTGTTAGCTACAGAGGATTCAAGGATGAGCACTCATCCTAGTCCTTAAGATTCACAGGTGGAGGTGAGGCAGCACAAAGAGGCTCATGCCACAGTGGGGTCTTGTGGCAGAAACAGGAGAGCACTGAGGAAGGCAATACAATCCAGCTTCACAGGGGTGTCAGTAAGGCTCCCTGCAGAAGGAAATAGGGTCTTATTTCATTCTTTTTAGTAAGAAAATAATACGTGCTCTTTATAGCGTATTAAAGGAAAACAAAATTCATAAATAAGTGAACATGCTCTTTTCTTTTTTTTATGAACATGCTATTTTCAATATTCCCCACCCCCAACCCCATACCAACCCCACTACACAGAGCTGGCTAATGTTATGAGTTTGGTATGAGCCATTCAATTTTTTCTTGTATATATATATTTACACATACATAAATCCCCTTTAAAAATAAAATTGAAGTACAATACATATTTGCGTATAATTTGCTATTTTTTAAAAGCAGAGTGTGGTAACCAGCCTCCAAGATAATCCCCAAAGATCTCCTGCTTCCTGTTATTCACATCCTTGGTTAACCCCTTGCACACTGTACCAGGGTTGGTCTGTGTAACCAACAGAATACAGCAGAAGTGATGGTGTCACTCTTGAGATTAGGTTATAAAGAACTGAGGCATCCATCATGGACTTTTTTTTGTTGTTGTATCACTTATTCTGGGAGAAGCCAGATGCCATGTTGCAGGAACACTTAGCCAATGGGGGGTCCCACAGGGTAAGTTTTTGAGGCCTGCTGATGACCATGTGAGTGACTCTGGAAGCTGATCCTTTAGCCCCAGTTGAACTTCAGATGTCTGTAGACCCAGGTGACAGCTTATCTGCAATGTCATGAGAAAACCTTAGCCAGAACAACTCGGCTAAGCCACTACTGAATTCCCAACTAATAGAAACTGTAAGATAAAGAAATGTTTAAGGGGCTAAATTTTGGAATGATTTGTTACACAGAAATAGGTAACTATATACATATCAATAGGAATGTATTTTCCATGTCAGGCCACATAGTTCTACCTTATACTTTTAAATGACTACTCTATAGTATAACCTTTCTTCTGTAGACAGGGATCTAGGTTTTACCAAACAAAGGTGTAGTGAATAACTTTGGAAATTTGTACTTAAGTACTTCTGTAATTATTTGTAGGGGTAGGGTGGGGAATGAGAGGAGGAAGGGAGGGCAGCAGAGGCAGGGAATCCTAAAAATGGAACTGTTGGGTCAACTGGTAATTTATATATCACATTGCCTTGCAAACAAGTATATGACAGTACTTTTACTTTAACCACTATTGAATATTATCAATATTTTACATTTGCCAAACTGATAAAATGGGATTTTAATTTGCATTTCTTTGTCAGCAGTAAGAAAAAGTCTGAATATCTTTTTGAAGTGTATTAGACATTATCATTTCTACATCTGTGAATCGTTTGTTGACAAAAGTAGACAAACTTCTTAGTGACTGTGAAGAGTGCTTTATCAATTCTACATAACCATTAGATATACCGCAACTATATCCTTCCAATATGTCTCCTGTCTTTAAGCTTTGCTAATGATGTATTAAATATTTTAATTTTTTGGAATATTTTGTATGTTGTCAATCTTTTTCTTTAGTCATTTCACATGACTTTCAAATAATGGCTAAGAATTTGCCAAGCCAAGAACAAGACAATCCAAGCACATGGACTGACTTGAGCAAAGAGAGAAATGAAAACCTGCATATTTACATGAGGAGTTTGTGAGCATGCTGGAGTTGCTGAAGCACAAAGTGTGTGACAATGTGGAGAGAAGCATGCTGCAGAGAGGCAAGGGCTGGCCCTGAAGGACCTTAACTGTCTGCTTAGTGAGCTTGAACTTTTTCTTGTAGGCAATCCGGTAAGCAGAGAACAGTTTGACACTGAAATTTGGGCAATCAGATTGCCTTTTAGATCAGTCTCTGGCAGCTCTGTTGAAGAGGATGGCTCTGAGGGGACAGACCGAGAAACAGATGCATCACTTAGGAAACTGCTTCGATCGCCTAGAGAAGAGCTAACGATGGCCTGGACTGGGGCAGTGGTGGTTGAATGGTGGGGAAGAGACAGAATGGAGAAGTAATTAGGGGGCTAAAAGCACAGGACTTAGTGACCTATTTGATGTGTCTTGAAGTGGAGAAATGGGAAAAAGGGAAGGAACAAAGATGGTATTTAGGTCTTTAGCTTGAGCACCCAGGCGGACAGTGTTGGCAAAAGCAAAAGAAGGAAATGTGCAGGAAAAGCTGGTTCAGAGAGCAAGATGAGTTTGGTTGGAAGAACAAGGTTGTGGGAGGCCCAGGTGGGGAAGGCAGGAGATATAGATTTGGAAGTACCCAGTAACATATGGAAGTAAAAAACATTTACGTAGATTATTTCATTCAAAAAGAGGCCTGTTAAGAAATGAATGAGTTCATTTTTGGAAGAGCCAAGTCATAGCTGTTATGCAGCTTAAAAATGCCGAAGCAGGTGACAGACCTTGGGAGTCATTCCAGACCCAGGGTCAGCTTCTTAGCTCTTTAGTCTTGGAAATTCAACTTTGTCAGTTCTCTCAGGAATGATCAGGATAGAGTCACCAGAGGTCCACATCTTTTACTGCTTCTCAGTGGGCCGATTTCTGCTATTCTGGGGAAAAGGAGGCCATGTGGCAGAACCATAGGTTTGGATCCAGTTACAGCAGATTTCAAATTCCAGCTCCACACTTCCTGGGTATTATGACCCCCGAGAGCCATCATTTCCTTGTCTGGAAAACTGGCAGGGCTTCCTTGCAGGGATGTTATGAAGATGAAAAGGGATAATGTACAGAAAGCATCTCACGTAGTGCCTAGGTCACAGAAATGCTCAGGGACCCGTGTTCCCTTTCCCTGCACTCACTCTGTGGTGCTGTGCTGTCACTGCAGGTGCAGGAGCAGCTTGGGGAGGCACACAGGGTGAAAGCTAAGAGCTCAGTAGCCAGAAAACAAATGCCTTTTCCCAGCCTGGACGGAATGACTCTTGTTCTCTTAAAATTCAGAGGCTGCTTGGCTTGTGGACTACCAAGAATTCAGAAATCTTGCCCATTCTCTTTTCAGAGAGAATCCAAGCTCCTTTCCTTCTAGTTTTTCCAATCCCATCTCTAGGGAACCCACTGGGCAATGTTCACTCACACTCGCTTATATGGAGAGTCTCCAAGAACCTGAGTTAAGTATTATGAAGTTAGTATCCTAAACATCTCTAACATTCCTAATATAGAGGGGAAAAATAAATATTTAGAAAGATGTTAGTTTCTAAATCACAAATATTTGTCTCAAATGATACACGGTAGGTTATTTTAATAAAAGTCTCTTGTATAAGGAAAATAAGTAATTTCAATTAATTATAAGTATGATTTGGGTTAGGCATTTGTACAGGTCTATTATAAATTCTGCTGACACAGAGAACACCCACAGTGAACCTGCTTTTATTGAACTGCACTTGGTGTGATGCCATTAGTTCCTGTAGAGGGAAGCAACAAGAAACAGCTCTATGAATCTCATCGTCGTGACAGCTCTAAGGATGTTTGCGCTCCTTGTTCCTTACCATATATTCATGTTAAGCAGTGTCCTCTTTATGGGGCTTCTCGAAAACAATTAGTATTGATTTGTCTAAGCACGAAAAAGAGCTGTACTTTCCCTGAGTCCTTTCATTCCTTTAACGGATATTGAGCATCGTCTATGTGCTAGGCATGATGCTAGGCCAAGCCCCAGGACTAGGACAAAGTTCTTGCCCTCAGGCCTTGGGTACTGAACTGTGTACTTGACCAGGCTTCCCATTTATGCTGCCAGTTGCAACTTTCTAGGACTCTGAGACATATATTTTCAAGCCCTACTCCTGGCTCTACTTTGTCTCCTTTTGTTCTATTTTTGATATTATCTCATTTTTTCCTTTACTTTGTAAGCTGTCTTAACTTTTTTCTGGAATAAGTAAAGAAAGATATGTAAATTAGACAATATACATATATTTTAATTTATTCTGATTACTACAACTGTATTTTGCTCTTTAAAAATTCTAAAAGCTTGTTAAAAACTTAATGACAATTTTTGCCATTTATAACACATTTTAAATTTTATATAAAAATATAAGTGTTATGCAAAGTTGTTTGTTTTACTACTTTTTCCCTTTTAACCTACTTTTTTTTAACAGGTCATCAACACTTAGAGATTTTTCAAGGACACTTAGGGAGGTAGTGAGGAAGATTTATAGCATTAGGGTTTGTTTCCAGGGTAATTGCTTGAAACCATAGTAGGATCTAAGACTTCTTGACAAGGTTTTTTTTTCTTCTTTTTTAAATATCTGATAGTAGAGAAGTAGGAAGAGAAATATAGGATCATGGATACAATACCTAAAAAGATTTGCAGAACTGTAAAAAAAGAAAAGCTCAATTCACAGCATTCCATATTCTTAAAGCAGGGAAACAGTCCTTGAGAGAACCATTCGGTCTATTTGTCAAGCACATGGTAGATGCACAATAAATAACTGCTAAAAAAATTAAATCTGTATTAGAGCTCTGCTACTAAAGCGAAGATATAGCTACCTTATATATAGCATTGTATTCATATGTACACTATATTAGAAAAGGCAATCTTGTTGGGAATGTCATAAAATGATAAGTGATCAAGAGATGCAATTTATTTTTATCAACAGCAGTGATTATATTTCACATCAAAAATGACAAATTAAAAATAAAATATATCCCTACCTATATAACCTATATCAATCAAATTTTCATCCATTTTATAACACAGAGTTTACATTTCAACAGATACTGTAAGATATACCATAACATCAATTATTCCTTAGAATTTTAAGAAATATGGCTTATGTGTCAGGCTTAAAGGGTGAGCCAAAGTCTGTATCAGCTGCCTCTAAACTGATTCAGGGTAAGTTTTTAACATTTGAAATCTGAATAGCATATAAAAGCATAATGACTATGTTATCAATAGTTAATTTATTTCCTGGTAAGTAGTTCTTCAGCCAATGTTCTTTGTTTCTGACCAGAGTAGTGTGTCTCAAGCAGGCACAGTAAGGCAAATAGGATCGTATATCTTTATCGTTTCATCCCAAGCACAGTCAGCCACCTAGAAAACAAGAAAGTAAGAGGAAACATAATTTACAGAAATTCAAAACTGATAGCAAAAGCCTAAGTCATTTAGAGAGTAGCAGATCATCCACAAGTAAACATATCTTTAAATAGCAAGAACACGCAGTATCTTTTTGATCAAAGGCCTATTTTACCTTTCTAAGACACACTCAGGGATTGTTTCCAATGGACTAAAGTTGCCTATAAGGATTTCCTCCTCCCCCACCCAGAGCTGCATAATTCCCTATACCTCCTGAGATAAATGTTGGAAAGATTTACTCTTCAACTGTGAACAAAGGCACTGTGCTAGGTATTGTGGGAATGGAATGGAGATAAAGCACAGCCCTGGACTTCAAAGAATAGCTTGTTCAAGACTGAAAGTGATAAATGCTCTAATGGAGATTTTCCTAGGAGGAACTATTTGAATCCAACTGTGAAGTCAGAAGACTTCACAAATGCCTGGGCATTCACACTGGCCCTCTTTTGGGGCAGACCTGAGACATAAGGACATTCAAGTCTAAAAAGCCATATTAAAACATGAAGGGAAGACAGTCCATGGTACCCAGGAACTGTGTGTTAAAAACTTGGTGAATGTAATAATGTCTCAGGGTATAAGATTAATATATAAAATCAATTTTATTTCTATATACTAGCAGAAAAAAAGTTAAAAATAAATTTAAAAATCCATGTAAAATAGCACCAAATAACAAAATACTTAATAACACATTTAACAAAAGACATGCAAATTCTCCACACTAAAAACTAAAACATTGCCAAAATTTTAAAAGGCCTAAATAAATGGGGAAATACACACACACACACACACACACACACACCATATTCATGGGTTCAATATTGTTAAGAACTTAATTCTCCCCCAAAGTAATTTATAATTCATAATCCTAGCAGGCTTTTTTTTTTTCCCCCCGCCCTTGACAATCCCCTGGCCTCCCCTACCCCGCAGTGTCTTATGTCCATTGGTTATGCTTATATGCATGCATACAAGTCCTTCGGTTGATCTCTTACCCCTCTCCCTTCTGCCCCCCAACCCTCCCTGGCCTTTCTGCTGCAGTTTGACAATCAGTTCGAGGCAGCTCTGCCTCTGTATCTATTATTGTTCATAAGTTTATAATGGTCTTTATTATCCATGAATGAGTGAGATCATGTGGTATTTTTCCTTCATTGACTGGCTTATTTCACTTAGCATAATGCTCTCCAGTTCCATCCATGCCGTTGCAAATGCTAAGAGTTCCTTCTTTTTTACAGCAGCATAGTATTCCATTGTGTAGATGTACCACAGTTTTCTAATCCATTCATCTACTGATGGGCACTTAGGCTGTTTCCAGCTCTTAGCTATGGTAATTTGTGCTGCTATGAACATAGGGGTGCACATATCCTTTCTGATTGGTGTTTCTGGTTTCTTGGGATATATTCCTAGAAGTGGGATCACAGGGTCAAATGGGAGTTCCATTTTTAGTTTTTTGAGGAAACTCCGTACTGTCTTCCACAGTTTCAGGTACAATCCTAGCAGCCTTTTTAATAAAATTGAACAAGGTGATTTTTAAAGTTATGTAGAAATGCAGAGGACTTAGAATAGCCTGAAGAATCTTGAAAAATAACAAGAAAGTTGTACTTATACTACCTATCTCAAGACTTACTACAGTAATCAAGACAGTGCAACATTGATATAAGGATATATAAGTAGATCAAAGGAATAGAACAGAATTCAGGAATAAACCCTACACTTGGCCAACTGCTTTTCAATAAATGTACCAAAATGTACCAATTAAACAAATGGTGCTAGAATTGGAGATCCATATGGAAAAAAAATGAACTTCAACTCCAACTTTACACCATAAATAAAAATTAATATGAGGTGGATGGACCATAGCCCTAAATATAGAAAATAAAGGTGCAAAGCTTATAGAAGAAAACATAGAAGAATATATTCTCAATCTGAAAGTATGTTAAGCTTTCTTAGACAGGATACAGAAAGCTATAACCAAAAATTTTGATAACTTAGATTCAATCAAAAGTAAATCTTTCACAGCAAAGGAAACCATCAACAAAACAACAAGAAAGCCCACTGCGTGGGAGAACATATTTGCAAATGTTATAACCGAAAAGGGTTTAATCTCCAACATTTACAGGGAACTCATACAACTTAACAAAAGGAAGATAAAACAACCCAATCAAAAAATGGGCAACGGACCTAAATAGATACTTTTCGAAAGAGGACGTACAGAAGGCCGAAAGACATATGAAAACATGCTCAAAGTCACTAATCATCCGAGAAATGCAAATCAAAACAACAATGCGGTACCATCTCACACCTGTCAGACTGGCTATCATCAACAAATCAACAAACAACAAGTGCTGTAGAGGATGCGGAGAAAAAGGAACCCTCGTGCACTGCTGGTGGGAATGCAAACTGGTGCAGCCACTGTGGAGAACAGTATGGAGTTTCCTCAAAAAACTAAAAATGGAACTCCCATTTGACCTAGTGATCCCACTTCTAGGAATATTTCCCAAGAAACTAGAAACACCAATTAGAAAGGATATATGCACCCCTATGTTCATAGCAGCATAATTCACCATAGCTAAGATTTGGAAACAGTCTAAGTGCCCATCAATAGATGAGTGGATTAAAAAACTGTGGTACATCTACACAATGGAATACAACGTGGCGGTAAAAAAGGAAGACTTCTTACCATTTGCAACAGCATGAATGAAACTGGAGAGCATTATGCTAAGTGAAATAAGCCAGTCAGAGAAAGATAAATATCACATGATCTCACTCATTTGTGGAATACAACGAACAACATAAATTGATGAATAAAAACAGATCCAGAGACAGAGAAGCATCAATCAGACCGTCAAACCTCAGAGGGAAGGTAGGGGAGAGTGGGGGTAAAGGGGAGAGATCAACCAAAGGACTTATATGCTAGCATATAGGCCTAACCAATGGACACAGACAACAGGGTGGTGAGGGCATGAGTGGGGGGGATGAGGGGTAATGTGGGGATAAGGACACATATGTAATAACTTAATCAATAATAAAAAATGTAATTTAACATTAAACTCCTGTAAAGACAATAAAAAAAAGTAAATCTTTCGCTCATCAAAAGATAATATTCAGAAAATGCATAGGTAAGCCACCGAGTGGTAGAAAATATTCACAAAACACACTTCTGACAAAGAACTTATATCCAGACAATATGATGAACTACTATAACTCAATAATCCAAAGACAACCCTATTAGAAATGGGCAAAAGACTTCCTAGTAGTTATAATACTCAGTTGTACTTATTTACCGCACGCGTGTCTCAGCTCTTCAAGAAAAATGGCTTGTGTCTTCCTATAACATAACATGGACTATGTCTTCCTATAACATAACAATGTCTCAATAGATACTATCTCACAGAATGTATTTTATAGGTTAAGACCTCACAGATTAACTTTTTTCTCATGGTCACACTAGAGTAGCAGAGCTGGAAACAGAGCCTACATTTGTTGAATCTGTCTTCTAAAATAGTGCCTCATAAAAGGCAAGCTAACATTCATTATTTGCCTAATCCTGCAGTTAGGATTATATCCTGAAGTTTTAAGTTTTTATGCCATGGACCACAAAGATCATTATATAATTTACCCCTATTTCATATATGTTTATTTTTTCAAGTGCCAGGCCTCTCTATATATTAAGTGTCAACTATTATGAAGAAGAGAACCAGAGAAGAAAGACTTAGGTTTCTAATATAAAATATTCATAAAATTATGTTTCTGAATCTTTATTTAGCACTCTTCAGTCCAGCTTCTTATTTACTCAGAACTTATAACTAACAAATATCAAGGCCACTCAGTCAGTAAATGTACATAACTCTACACTTATATTAACTGGTAATACAAGAAACACCTAAAACTGAACTGTGAATAGAGTCATTAAAATGAATGCAAATAATATTTCTCAATTAATTAATTAATTATACTCCATCAAATTCTAAACGTTTTTAAAAGCTTACAATAAAAATAACAATAAGGTAAGAATAAAAGCACTTTACTAAACTAACAAAGAGTCTCCAGCTTCTCCAAGGTAGGCGCTGTAGAAACCATATGGTAAGAAAAGATGACCTTGTGATCCCCAGGAGTAGGAGGACTCTCATTAATTATCATCAACCAAACGGCCTCTGGAGGCACTGCTTCCCACTTCATTTTATGACTGAGACTAAACACAGGGCTTCTTCTTCATGTCCCTTTCTATTCATCTGAGACTAGCCTGAAAGACATTTAAAAAAGATTTTGCTAACCTTTATTAAAGGTTAACATAAATGAATGAATGAATGAATGAAGTGATTAACATGGAAATAAATAATCTGCTTTGCAGGATGAGATCCACTCATTCATTAGCTTGTCAAACAAAGAAAGGAATCTTGCTTAGCTCCCATCCTGCTTCTTCAAGACAAAAGCCACCTTTCCTTCCCATCCCTGGCAATGCACTCCTGGCCATGAAGACTCCTTCAAGGCCAGACTCAGGACAGCGATAATGGGGTATCCCCTTTCTCATCTCCCGAAGATCCTCTTTCTCATTTCAGTCTCCTACAGGAGGACTCACTTCTCTGCCCATTACCTTGCTGTCAGGAAAAACTGTAAAAGATTGTAATCAATCAGCAGAAAAGATTGCGAGGTGTTCTTTCAGTGGAATGCTGGCATTGTGCTAGGGCCCCACAGGGTTACCTGATTCTATAGGGGTCTATGCCTTTCTCTGTCTTTGACTGGATTATTTTACAACTCTGAAAGCTATAGAAAACTGATAGTAATCAAATGATTCTCATCCATTAAAGTTGCAAAGGAATGTCCTATGAAGATGTAGTTGATGTCTTTCTTGCTCCCCAAGAGATGATTCCAAACATGACATTTTATTGCCCTATAGATATTGAACAGTTTTGTACCTCTTACTACATTTATTTCAGCATTCAGTGACTGCCTATATGTAGTCACTG